TAATAATAATATATTNTNTNTNTNTTTTTTTTTTTTTTTTTTTTTTAGACATGAAATACATACGCGCTCTTTACAGTCGCTCTTTATTCTCACGCATCACGGTACGATAGAATTCGGTAATAGCGTATTTAACAATCGAAAAATATTGAAATCGACGAATCACTCGGCACGCTCGATCCTCGTGATCCGTTTCTCATTTTATATTTTATGTATATTTATATATATATAATAAATATATATATAATATATATACTTATTATTAATATGTAAGAACTTGACTAGATCACTTTAGTTTTTTTTTATTGACTCCCTTATTTAGTTAGTCTAGGTACTTGCTCGTGCGACGACGGAGAGAGTATGAAGTTACAAGATGCTTCTTCTTCTTCTTCTTCTTTTCTTCTTTTTTATAAAAAAATATTCAGGAGAATGAATTAGAATACGATTAACGCGGCTTGTCTGGTTGCTTCCGGTTCCCAAAAAGTTTTTGAGAACGGTGAGAGCTAACGAGGCTTGATCCCAATTCCAGTTGTAATTAACGATAGGAGCGGATTCTATGAACGCAGCAGCACCTCAGGTTCGTGAGAATTTTGTCAGATTAACCGTGGATCGGTTCATCACACGTAACATTCGGTTTTAGGACCCAACTCGTATTCCATTTCCTCGTTGTTGTACATATCCATTACCTGGAAAATATTGTTTCAAATAAATTTGCACTTTTGCAAATCAATCGGAATCGATTGTTCTCGTTTTTCTCGAATAAAAACCATTCCAAAGGATTTTATCGTGAATTCTTTATTTCTTTAATCTTGATAAGTGAGATTGACTTTTCGAGAAAGATGAGCAAGATAAAGAAAAGCGTTACGTTTGATTATATCGTAAAAATAATCTCCCCTAGAAAAATTAAAAAATTACCGCATTCATGTCTTTCTGCAATTCCTCCAGTTGCTTCTCGTGAATTACTTTCAGCTTCTCCTTCTCCCTGTTCTGAATCATTTGTGCGATTCTCCTCTCCTCCATGAATTTTTTCGTATTGTTCTGCTGCTTCTCCCTAAGCCGGCCCTCCTTTATCCCCCGGGTCTTCAAAGTTTTATCGTTCATCACCTCCCTCGTGCTCTCCACAGACAGCCTCGCCTGCCTCGCGTTCATCTCTTTGATCTCGCGCTCGTGCCGCGCCGTCAGCTGTTTCTGCTGAGCCAACTGAGCAGCCACACACAATTTTCTCAGAGTGTTCCTCCGCTCCTCCAAATGGGAACGTATCAGGTCACGTTCCTCTCGACGTTGCCTATCCGCCAATCGAGACCATTGAACCGTTTGCTCGGAAACTTCTCGACGAACGATCGGATCTCTCGACAGCTCCGCTTTGCTATCGAACCGAGAAACAAGAAAATTTAACGCCGGAGGAAAATTCGTGGTAAAAAGCAAGAAACTTTTTCCTACTGTATGTCGTAAAGTGTCCAATAATTATCTCTTTCGTATTTCTTTCCAGAAAGAAACCAGCGACTTCTGTTCGACCAATAATCGAACCGAACTTTTTCATGGTTAAAACGATGGTTGTGGAACATTGGAGAAAAGAAGAAAGTATGGAACTAATCAGCAAGGCTTTCTGACTTCGTTTAAAGAGAAACATCGGAGGTCTATTTATATATATATATACATAGAAAAGTAGGATATATATTTAGCACGTGTATCCGTTTGGTGACAGAGAACAGACAGAAGCACAGTCAAAAATCAAGGGAAAGAGTTTCTCTTTGTTTCAATTTAAAAAAAAAAATCACGTACTTTTTCCCTTTGATAATCTTCTCTATCGCGGTGCAATGTTGTTTCTGGACGGTAAGTTTCTCCTTCTGATGCCTCTTCTTCAAAGACTCCAAATCCTTCTGCTGCTTTCTCAGCACTTTCTGATACCCTTTTTCTTGCCTCAACGATTCAGCCGTTATGGGATTGAATTTCATTTCCTCTAAAGAAAAAAGAAAGAAAAAGAATCCCCATTTTCTACCATCCAATTCTACTCAATTGAATCGAAAATTGAAGAGAATTACCTCGAGGTTTAGGCGCCTCGCGATGATGAGCGGGCGCGGAATCACAGTGGCCCTTGCTGTCGCTCTCCTCTATCCCAAGCCCACGCATTTTATTCTGAGACGCGTTCTCCGACTTCTTGTAGGCCCGTGGCGCCGTGAGCGCGTCCATAAGCCCTGTTACATCGATCCAAATGAAACAGATCGAAACAGATGGGACAATCAAAATACCTTATCGAGACGCTTACCTTCGTAGCCGTCCGGCACGTAAATCTTGATCTCTATGTTGCAGAACAGCATTGGCAGGGACATGGGGAAGTTCGCCTCTGTTCTCAGGGATATGTGCCTGTATCCCGACTGTAGACCGTCCAAGGGGACGATTCTCTGGCCCAACAGCTTCCCGTTCGACTCGTCGTAGACCGCGAATCTGAGGGCGGCCAGATCCGGCAACACGACTTTTCGAAACAGGAAAGGCTCCTCGTTGTAGACGGGATTCAGCCCGTTCGCTGGAACCACTCTGGTCCGAAATTCTTTCCTAATCGTGTCCGTCGGTAGACCGTACATTTCCACCTCCACGTAAGTCCCGACCTTCTTGTCGGATAAAAATTGACCGGCGATCACCTGGCGAAGCCAAAATTCTCTCAAAGTTAATTTCTACTTTGAATTTCTGTTTGCGTTTTCTCAATTAAGCCTTTCGCTACGGCGCTAATCATTGGTCGTTAGACAGACTAGGTGAGCGCAAGTTTCGTGTAAATTGTTGAAAGTTAATTTAATCATTATAGATTATTATAGTATAGCAATGATAATATGGTGTAATAATATAATAATAATAAAAGAATATAATGGTGTAGTGTCTACAGTTGTTATAATTGATATTTAATTTAAATTAACTTTAAGAATTAATAATTAGAATTAATTATTTTGTGAAATTTTATGAACTGAACTGATTAATGATGGAATTAAGTGAATCAGATAAGTAATTAAATTATAAAATCATGATGTTATAGTAATTAATGTTATGTATCTTGTGGAATATCTTATATTTTTTTCCTTCATACTTCATTTTAAAAGTTTTGTCCCCGGTATCAAAATTATGACGATGATTAAGTTATATCAAATCATGCAACAGCATGAAAATCCAATATTTGATGAAAAATTTGATTTTTTTGAAAGTACATTGTTAAATAATTTTGTACTTATTTTATATTAAATTTTATACGATTGTATATCTATATAGCATAAAAAAAATTAGAAATAAATGTATGATTTCAATCAAAAAATACTTCTTTTTCCGCTTTTGAGATACGAAACCACTTTTTAAATAGGAAAATATATAGCAGCTGATTATAGTCATCCCTCGTAGCGAAGGAATTAAAATTTCGAATAAAATTACGCGATCAAGTTGTGACAAGTTTATCCAAAAAAAGTTAACTGCGATGTTTCGAATGATAAATTACTCGAGTATTCAGAAAAGGGAGGACTATCTATTTTGAATAGCTTATATATAAAGTTAAAGAAGACGCACGTTCTTCGAAAAATACGTAGATCGATCGATTTCGAAATGCATAATTTTTCTATAAATCTATAATATTAAGAGAATAATTTCGAGATACCTGAACGCTGCATTGGGTGGCGATCACACCGTCCACAGGGCTCTCGGCGAATGGGTCGAAGCTTCGATCGGCACGTCTCATGAAG